CTTTTTGTTCCAGATCTGGACTGAGTGTTTCATCCCAGTTAACACCGGATATCCACATTTCTTGCAGAAGAACCCTTGCCCTAATGATGAATGGACCTAAGAACCCAAGAGGATCAAACAGCTTAGCAGTTTCTTTCAAGAAGTTCCTCTTAGTCATCTTGATATCCTGCTTTTAGGACATGAAAGAAAACCTAAACTCACCTGATTCTGCATTCCACAGTAGGCCCAGTGCTTTTACAGATGGCAATTCACTCATTTGAATATTAATCTCTTTCAATCTATCCTCTTCTGGTATTTCTTGGAGAACTTGCACGGAATTGGAAACCCACTTACGAGCGTGCATACCTGCTGTACTCCACAGCTGTTGCAGCTGTTTGTAAAGCTCTATAGCTTTGCTATTTGTGTCAACGGAATCCATATTGTCATCCATATATGTTGACTTTTCCACGGTTGCTGCAGCCAATGGAAGTTCTTTCTCCATGGACTTAGCATGTTCTTGAGTGATATACTGAGCTAAAAAGGGGGAACAATTTAGCCCAAACACAACCTTTGAGAACTCAAATACATCTGGCTTTTTGTTCAGATCCATCGACCTCCAAAGAAACCTTAGATATGGACGGTCATCCTGATCGACTTCAATTTGAAGGTACATTTCAACAATATCGCAAATGATTGCAACAGGATGTTTTCGAAACCGCAGCAAGATCTCGAATAGATCATTCTGGAGTTTTGGTCCTTGATGAATGACATCATTTAGAGATATGCCTTTATTCTTTGCAGATGCATCGAATACGATTCTCACCTTTGTTGTACTTCTGTCTGGTTTAATGACTGGAAAATGTGGTAAGTACCATTTACTTTGATCTATTTCTGTTTCAGGTACTTTTCTGATGTAACCTTTTTTCAGGTATTGTTCTATGACTTCATTGTAGGCTCCTGAAATTGTTTGATGCTTAGACAACTTCTTTTCTAAATTAAGAAGACGATTGTATGCCATGTCATAATTGTTTTTCAGATTCTCATGACCCTCCTTCCATGGAATGCCAACCTGATATTTGTCTTTTCTGTAAACAAGGGACTGTTCTACAGCCTTAACTGCATCATTCGCATCAATGCTTCTAATCGATGTCAAACCTGAAATGCTTTCAGACTCCCAAAATGAGTGAATCAAAGATTCAATATCTGTATATGCGATTGCTTCTATTTCTGTATTTCTGATGAAGAAGGAACCTGCTACGTGTGTTGTTTTGTCTGAACCTGATACAGCACCAACACAGGTCCAACCTAAGGGTGTCAACCGAGCCACAGGCTCTCCTTGAGCTCCACGGACCTCTTTAAGAGAGGAATGCAGCTCTAAATAATCCATACCTAACAGGATGTCAACTCTTGGACGAGAACTTACCTTTGGAAATTTTATTTTCGTCAAATGTGGCCATTCCTTGGCATGTTTTCGCCAATCAATGACTTCCATTCTACCCGTTACCTTGGTAGTTGTCAAAGCTGTGATGTTCATGTCAACTGAACCATCAGTACTTTCTAAGCCGATATCAATTAGCATACTATCAAATATTTCCTGTTTGTCATTGAGGACATTGACTGAAACTTGCTGTGTCTGACCTTGAACACCAAGTTCTGCTGCTACATCCTCGTTGATGTAAGTATGCATGCTGGCATCATCCAGCAAGGCATTAACCATCATTCTGTGCTGACCATTCTTAAGGATAACAGGAACTGTCCTAAGTGAAAGGTAATGACCTTCCTGCTTAGAAGTTGCCATGGTGACTGTTTCTGACCTACCTGCTTGTGGTGTTCTTGTTGTATGTTTCATCTCTACATTACCACTGTCGGCCCTAGCACTGCTTGTAGCTTTGGTTTGATCATGAAGTAACCTGTTATGGTTTGCTTTACAGCCATCAATCCCACACTTCAAAACTCTGCTACACGATCTTCCCAGATGACCGATATCAAGGCAACGAAAGCATAAACCTAACTGTTTTGCCCTTTCCCAGCGTTTAGGTAGGCCAATAGATTTAAACTCTATGCAGTCCGAAGTGTCATGATCTGCTTCATGACACACATGACATTGCCTTGCCCTAGTTTTATTATGTGTGGTTGCATATGTTCCTTTCTTAGAACTATCTCTCTTGTCTGTTTTTGACCTATCAGCTATTCCATGTTTTACCTCTGAAGCTATCGTTTGGAACTCTGCTTCTTGCAGAATCCATTCCCTAAGCGTCTCAACAGACTCTTGTCGGTGGTGCTCAAATAACCATCTGTGGAACTGAGTAATCATAGGCTCATTCAGTTTCTTAACCAGTAGTGAATACAAACATCCACTACCAAGTTCCTCTATTTTATCAGATTCCCTCAGACTGACTACAGCTACATCAAGCATGTCTGCAAATTTGTCCATATCCTTAGCATTCCCTAATCATATTGGCTTGAAATTGTATATTTCGTCTAATTGTAATGCTACCTGGCGTCTCTTGCCACCATATTTTCTGTCCAATCTCTCCAAGGCTACATCATAGACCGAAGCACTGTGCCCTAACCTTGCAACTATGTGTGCTGCTTCTCCAGAAAGGTACTGCTTCAATTGCAGAAGTTTATATTCATTGGTGGCTGGAGCTTTATCAACACATGCTATAAAAAGCAGACTTCCAGCCTTCATATTCTCTGACATCGCCAGAAAATACTGGAATGGAAACTCTCTTCAATTGTTTCCCCATGTCTTCACCTAAATTGTGTTGCCTAGATGACTTACCTGAAGTTGTATAACAACCTTTTGTGTTATCTGGGACTGGTGTCCGTTTCATATCCATATTTGACCTTTGTTGAAAATGGCCTAACTTGAACGCAGCATGTTTGTAACCTTGGTTACTGATTTGCTCAGCGCCATCACTGTCCAAGTCTGCATCGTGCAACAAACCTTCACAGCTATCATGCAACCGATTCGCATCGAATTGGCGAGACCTTAACATTTCTGACTGAATGCTTTTTGCATCCGAACTAACATGTGATCTGTCCTTAAGAAATGCTTCAGCCTTATCAAGGGCAAGTTCAATTTCATCTTCAACAGTTTCTATCTCCTTACTAGTTTTCTGAACTTTCTCTAGGTCACCAACCCAGTTGTAAGCTTCTAGTAATTCCACTATGAGACCTATAGCCTTGCTTTGCAGAAAACTTACCTGATCAATTAGACTCCTAATTGTCTTACGATCTGGTGTCCCAAGTTCAACTAAATTCAACAATTTGTTCTTTGATTTTGTCAAAGCCGACTTTGTAATAGTTTTCTGATGCTTAACTTTAGCTATCTTTAGCTCAAGTTCAGAAGTGTTCTGTTTTAGAGCTACGTCTGAAGAAGCGTACTGTTTCAGCGCTACGTCTGAAGAAGTATCCTTTTCTACATCCGCCTTACTCGCAGACCCTAACTGCAACATACTGCTTGCATGTAACAGTCAGCTATACCTAATGCTAATCTAAACTAACGAAAGCCTAATACAAAACTAAAATATTCTAACCAGAGAAACCACGCTCTGCTACCAAATGTTGCGCAGTGGAACTGAATATTTGAGCGTGGTTTAACTTAAAATGAAAACTAATCGTAAATTTGAATGACTTACCTTTTTTGAATGAAACAAGGAACTAAACGTGATAACCTATTATAAAACTATGAAGATCTATGAGGAACTAAACGTGATTACCTGTTATTATGTGAAGGAAAGATGAATAAACCTCAAATGATAGAAACTAAATGCTAATTCTAACAGTTACTCCTAAGGAAGTCTTAACACTGTCAAACACTCTAACACTCTAACACCATCTAACTCATCAGCTCTCTAACGAACCTTCTAACGAACATTCTGACGAACATTCTGCCAACTCTCTCTCTCTAACCATCTAACTATCCATCTAGCGAACTCTCTAACCAGCTCTCTAGCGAACTATGACCAACTAACTAACTGATGCGAGCTACCGCCTTATATTTGCTCACAACCCTCACACTTCACGTGCAGTCACAGCCATACGTTGGTGTATTCAGGCGATGCGATCGGTATGCATCGGGTGTGCTTTGGAGAACATATTCTTTATTTAAAACTAACACGAGTGCACGTGAAGCGCGATCTATAGGCTCCGGGTGCGTTTTGGAGCACATTTTAATGAACAGACATGTCTTCAGAACAGGACACAAGAAATGGGCTTCACACATTGTACCCATGTCGGGAATTGAACCCAGGTCTTCGGCGTGACGAGCGAACGCTTTAACCACTAGGCTACCCGACCGCCCCTCATTATTGTATGTATATACATGGGTCAGAGGTACGAGTCTCGTTTGGGATTTATGACCATGTGCAAGTGGGTATCAATAGCGGCACTCTGTGTTCTTTTGTTAAAGATCAATAAAGTGTTCATCTCACTCTATCAAACATCATACAGTGATCCCTCGACTTAACGCTCCTCGATGTACCACTACTCCGGATGCGGCGTGGGGTAAACCTTGGCTCCCAAAAATGCATGAAGAATTTCCCCCTAAAAGCGTATTAAAGCAAATAAAGTTACAAATAAACTGATGAGATTTAATTCCAAGTCGAAGTACACGTGTGTGTATTTGTAAACAATTACGTTTATTGTATCCGGCTGCATGTGATCGAAACCATTCTGCCTTTTGTTCCGGTTGTGAAAAAATATTTTGTACACAGATCTGGCATTATACTCACATAAAATCAAATCACAGCAATAACAAACATAAGCTGCATTGTTTGATTAAATACTAATCTCAGCTTGTTGTGATTGGTAAGACAACATGTGAGATGTCTTCCAACTTCAAACCGGCCGCGTGTAATGCAATCACAACAATAGAAACAATGGCTTCCGGTATTTAATCCAGAAGTGAGTAACCATGAGAGACCTAAAAAAACATTGGAACTTCATTGTTTAAATAGCGTAATTACGAAGGGTATAAAATAAATCTTAGTTCATTAGTCTTTACCATTTCAATCATGGCAGCCACTGCGAGTAAATCTAAGCGACAGGCGTACACTATTAAAGAAAAGTTGGGGATTGTGAGGCGGGTGAGAGAGGGTGAATCGCAAGCTAGTGTCAGCCGTTCAACTGGGAATGGCTAAAAGAAGAAGAAAAACTTCAAGATCTTGCATTTGAAACCCAGGAGATCGGGGGATTGCAGAAGAAGCAAAATAAAGGGGCAACTGACTCTACACTGGATGCAGCGCTGTTTGCGTGGTTCACGCAAAGCAGACATGGTGGCATACCACTTTCTGGCGAGATAGTGAAAATGCAAGCTCAGAAACTGTCCCTAGATATACATGGACCTGACGACACATTCAAGGCCAGCGCAGGCTGGTTGTCGAGATTCCAAAAACGACATGGAAACAAGTCGTTTACAGTGACTGGGGAGCGGAGATCGGCTGACGACAATGCTGCTGACACATTTTCCGCCATCCTAAGAGAGCTGATTGAGTCCGAGGGGTACGACTAGGAGCAGATTTACAACTGTGACGAGACCGGCCTGTACTACAAGCTGTTGCCTGACAAGAACCTAGGCACCAAAGAAGACAAGCAGACTGGGTTCAAGTCCACCAAGCAACGGGTGACAGTTTTGCTCAAGTGCAACAAGCCTGGGACTCACAAGTTGAAGCCATTGGTGATCGGCAGTGCCCAGAATCCAAGGTGCTTTCATCACGTAAACAGAGAAACACTTCCTGCACACAACAGCGCTTCTGCAAATGCGTGGATGACAGCCAAGATTTTTTAAGATTATTTTTTTCGCAAGTTTGTTCCAGCTCTCTGTGACCATATCCGATCATGGAACTTGGAGGAGAAAGCCATCCTCCTATTGGATAACTGCCCCGCCCATCCCCCAGCAAGTACTTTACAGTCACATGATGGACTCATAAAGGCATTCCTATTGCCGAAAACACAACCTCCCTTATTCAACCGCGCGACCAAGGGATAATAAAAGGGTACAAGGCACATTATTGGAGATTCCTAGTGAGTGCGTTGGTGGAAAGAGGATTGGATCCTGTTGCGTTCCTGAAGACACACAGTGAAGGATGCTGTTCTTCAGACAGACAAAGCCTTGATGAAGGTGACGCCAGCCACCATCAACAACTGCTGGATGAAGGGACTTGGGCCAGCATTCAGGGTTGATGAAGATTTCATGGGGTTTCAAGAAGATGTCACCGATGCTGTACGAAAGTACCGCGACTATGCTAAGGAGAACAGCATCGATGTATCCCCAGAGACGGCCACGGGGTGGAACACGTGCGACGACAACCTGCCGATTGCCGAACTTCTGAACGACCAAGAGTTGGTTGCCGCAGCTATGCCCGTCGAAATCATTGATGATGAAGAGGATGAAAACAGTGACGATGAATCTGTTCAGCCAATGGCACCCTCCGTTCGAGATGCCATTAATGGGGCTGAGTGTTTATTGTAGCACTTAGAAAATGACAGATACGAACAACTTCACGTAATGAAAGTTCGCTGCATACTGTCACAACTGAGAACAGAGGAACGTGACAGTCAGAAACAAACGAAAATCAGTGACTTTTTTAGTAAATAAATTTGTTCATTTCCTCATGTACATACACTGATTGCATGGTATGAGTGTTTCAATGCAACATTTTCCTTGGGCATAATTATCATTGATAATAGAACTAAATATATCTCATCCACTCAAATCTACGTTTGTGTTTGTTTGATTTTTATAAATTGCTCAAATAACCGTGTAGTTACACATGTTATGTCCATGTACATTGTACATAAAGTGCATACATGGAGCAGGCTGTGTCCGGGGTTTTCATAACTTTGATACGTCATTATTTATTGACCAATCACAGCCTTGGTTGCACATTAGTTTCGTTACAAGGCTTGTTCGGCTTTGTAGTGTTCTGTCATCGATCGATAATGTGAGTAGGTCGGCGATTGGACCAAATTTCTTCCGAAAAACGTGGAATATAACAACACTTTGTTTCCTCATTTAGATTCTACATGTGTAACATCCAGTCGTAAAATAATACACTGTACTTTGATTAATTTACACAAAGTATTTTTATTTTTTTACACATGCATTTTGAATCATCATCCACGATCAGTGTTACATAGATCTACCTGTGAATGAATATCTGTACAACGCTCTTTCCTAGAACGCAGGATCGGTTTGTTGGAACCCGATGACAGCGGTATATCAAGGGATCATTGTATCACTTGACAACAGTCAACAGATCAAGCAGCATCTTGGACATCATATTGGCGATGAGGATGCACAGGTGAACAAAGTATCATTTTCATGGCTGTTTCATGACAAAGCCCACCCGTGTTTCCCACGTTGGATGTTCATACTGACGGAAACAGTGGTCCTTGATGGAAGCAATGGTTGTCAACTTGACACGTTTTGAAAGTCTTATGGTAGGTCTGAACATAGTTGAGCCAACTCAGAAGCATGCCTGGTTGTTACATCCAGCTGTCCCTACAGTCAAAGAAACATTTGACACTATTCAAAACCACTCACTGACTATTTCATTCAAATGTAGGTGAAAGCATTGACACTTACTGCACAATATTGAGAAAATTAGTGCAAACCTGTGACTTTAACGATGTTGACAAAGAGATATTCTCGTAGATCGACTTGACATGTATGTCTCAGAGACTTAGGAGACGAGCGCTATGAGAAGATCTTGATTTGACAAGATTGCTAACTGCAGGCAGATCTCTCAAAATTAGCGATTTTCAAGCTAGTAATGTGGAAACATCGGCAATAAATGCACCATCTCATTCACACTCACAGAACAATCATTTCACACACAGACCATCTCGATCCCACTCACAGCAAAGAGAATCTAGGTCAAGACACGGACGATCAAGAGCCAGACAATTCAGTGGATCAAAACAAACTTGTTATTTCTGTGATTTGTATTCTCATGTTGGAAAGTGTTCTGCCAAGGGTAAAGAGTGCAACTATTGTGGCATTTTAAAGTATTTTCGTGAGTACTTCATGGGTTAACCGTTTTGTGTTCAGGAGCATGGCATCAAGTATTCTCCGAGCAGTCCCAATCATTCTTTGCCCATACAACTCCCATGTGAGATGAGTGAGGGGTGTTGAACAACCAAACCACACCATTGTTATACAGGAATTCTTGTACAGGCCCATCTTCTACATTAACAGCAGAGACATTAAGGGATTCAATAGCACCAATGAAATTTGTTCCCTGATCGGAATGGAATTGCTTGACTTCTTCCCTTAAGGCAATAAACCTTCTGAGACTGCTTGTGAATGAGGAGCTTGTCATTTCTTCAGGGAGTTCAATGTGTACTGCACGTATCATTAGGCAGGTGAACAATGTCACCGAGCATTTGCTGTTTGCACTTGCACGACAAGTCACAATTTCCCATGGTCTGAAAGTGTCAATACCAACATAAGTGAATGGTAGGCATGGCACCAAGTGGTCTGGAGGCAAATCTGACATCATTTGAGTTTTCGTCTGAGCCGATTGCATGTGACACACTAATCCAGTAACCTGCCAATTTCAGAGCACCTTCCATCAGATGTCTTCCTTGATGTCTGTCATGGTAGTGGTGTACAAGAAGTTTTGCCACGTGGTTTCCCTTGGGAATGATAACTTGATTAATCTCATGAGCCGTCAGTATGCTGTTCTTCAGTTTTCCTCCTACCCTAATAACGCCTTGTTCAACTAAAGCAGGTGAGAGGGACAAGATTGAGCTTTTCCTCAGAAGTGGCTTGTGTTTTTGCAGACACATGATCTCCTCGGAGTAAGCTTCCAGTTGGACTACTTTGACAATGAAGGCCTCTGCATCCTTGAATCCTTCTACATTTCTGAAGTCTTTACACTGGTGCCAACCAACACATGAACTGTTGTTCAATCAGTGCCTAGTTGTTTCCATGGAGCTGTAGTGACTAAGGTTTTAGTCGACTTGAGACTGGTTCTAACCTCTTTATCATTGTCTGGGTCAACAAGCGAGACAAGTTGCGAGTCACACATATGAGATGTATAATTTTGGCTTGGGACATAGTTCCACTGATTGGGTTGTGAAGATCAGCGAATTCTGTTAATCCTGTTTGCGACATACATCATTGTTTCTCATTGCATATATAATACGACCCTGCTGTGAAAAAGTGCAGGCATTCTGTCACTCTAGGTATGGCATGTCCATGACGTGGGGCTACTCTGGACTTACCCAGCATGAAATTCAGCGTACTGGTGCCATTGACGTCGTACATCTTGAGGTAAGCAACAACACCAATTGCTTCCTTCGAGCGTCAGAGAATATATGAATCTCTTTAGTAAGGGAATCAGACAGTGAGTTTTTTTAAAAAGGTCTTGGGATCTCAACATTCTCAAGATTCTTGAGGAAGTTACACCAGTTCTGCCACTGAGATAAGTAAGAAGAGGGAAGGGGTCATCCCAACCAGAAGTTGTTGACATTAGTTCCCTAAGCAACAGTTTTCCTTTGATGACAACTGGTGCTGCAAAGCCCACAGGGTCATAGAGGTTGTTAATTGTAGACAATACCCCTCACTTTGTGAAGGGCTTCCTCTCAGCACAGACTTGGAAGGTGAAAGTGTCTTTGTTTATATTCCAGGATAGGCCAAGGCTTCTTTGAGGTGGAGGAGTGTTTGTGTTGAAGTCTAAGTCCTTGATGTCCTTGGCGAGGTCCCCTGCATCAAAGCTGGAGGCTATCTTGTGTAGTCTTATGTGACCCCCATGTTGGAGCACTCTCTGGGTTCTCGGAATCAGATCAATGGCAGCGTTCGAAGTACCTGCCTGCCCGACCGTCCGAGACGGGTTGATTTCAACTCGGGCTGCCAGATTTTCAAATACCCCTGTCCGACGGTCGGGTTATATTTCATATGTGAAAATATTCTAAATATTTCCCGATGCTAAGCATTAATTCACATGTAAAGATGAATGATAAAATGTAACCAAAAAGAAACCCCATTTGAGACAAGCTATTTGATTGGATAATCCCCGACACGACGACCAATCAGTGACCCTGTTTCTGTTGCTAGTGATATTGCAAATGGCGGCGCCAATTACCCACGTTGCTCGACAGCATGAGGCTTTTATGATAGCACGAAGCAAAAAAGAACGATCGTTCCTTTTTGGAAAACTGAATTTTCATGGTTGGTGACAGACGATAATCGTGAGCTTGTGTACTGTGGTACTTGCCGTTCTGTGTATGGTTCACTCGCTAGGAAAGTGATAAGTGACAAGTTTAGAAAATATTCAAAGGGGCCGTTTGTTACTGGTTGCAGTAACTTGAGGCATGATGCATTAACTACCCATAACAAGTCAGAAGGACATCGCCATGCTGTGCAATATCAAGACTCTCATTCTGCAGAGGTGAGCATTGCAGAAAAAACAAAAACTTTGCTCACCAGGGGGTGACTCTTGCTACCTTCTTGGCATGAAGGAATGTGCTTCTGCTTCAGCTACTGGCATATTTTCTTCTCTTTCAAAGGATGTACCTTATCAGAAAATTGTTGGATTGGCAGGAGACGGTGCTAGTGTGAATACCAGTCGCTTGAATGGTGTTATTGCACATTTTCAGAGGAACATTAGTCCTGGGATTATCATGATACAGTGTATGTCTCATCGAGTGGAATTAGCCATGAAAGATGCAGCAAAGACAGTTCCACTCTTCAGAAAAGGGTTTGAGCTACTTGACAACATTTTCAAGTTCTACAGAAGCCCAAAACAAAAGTCAGGTTTGAAAGCCTCATTCGCTGACCAAAAGCTGAAATCATCAATGCCAACTAGAGTTGGGGGAACACGCTGGGTGGGCCATGTATTGATTGCTCTCAAGGCATTACTGAATGGATACAAAGCTGTTGTGACCCACTTGTCAAAGGTAAATATTTGTGAATAATTACAGATTGAACTGATGAATAAAATAAACAGTTGAAAAGAAAAGAAAACATTATTTCTTGAAATTATTATTGAAAAGTAAAATTTGTTTTGAAAAATGTTGACACCAAAGAAAAATCATTCATCAGTTGATCAATTATCTATTTCAAATTCAGTTTGGAATTTATTGTATGGTTTAATTTTGTAGGTAGCTGCTGTGCGAAGTCAGTCAGCATCACAGTCGAAAGCTAAGCACTTCCTCAGTCTCCTCCGGTCTAAGGACATTGTGATGTTTGCTCATTTCATGGTTGATGTTTTGAACAAGCTCACAGTACTGTCAAAGTTGCTGCAACTAAGACAGGCATGCATCTTTAATGTTCACCAGCAGTTGCACACTTCCTTGACTAACTTGCAGACACTTAAAGACAGGTAAGGTTTTATTAAAATGTATGGTATGAACTATTTTAGACACAACTATTAGCAAATTGTAGCACATTCATTCATCATCTGCTTCTACTCCCTCCTGCATAAGCATAATATCTTCAATCTGCTGCTAGATACAGGCTTACTTAGACTAGCATATGCTTACCCTTTTCTATCTCTTCACTGCTTTTGTGCACAACATAATCTTCACATATTCTGCTTTTGCATATGAAACCTTTTCTTGCTTTAGCTGTAGTGTTGTGTAAGTGGTGGTGGTGTTACATATTTCAGAGAAGGCCCTGAGCTAAGAAAAGTCAGTGGTTCTGACAGCTTTAAAGGAGAAACACTGAAAGCAGGCGACAGATTGTTCCCAAGTCAGTCTCCAAAGTTAATTCATGCCTTAGTGACTTGTCTTAAAGACAGATTCACTGACTTGGATCAGGGTGTTCTTAAAGCAACAACATTTGCTGATTTGGAATCATGGCCTGCTACATATGAGGATGCATGTGGTGTGTTTCATTTCACTGATAATTTCTGATTTCATTATCATTGCATGTCTGAGATCTAGCTTTTTCTCAAACATGCTAAGTTACCTTTCCTGTTTATAGTTGACCAGTTATACAGTAACATATCACCTTTATTAAGTATAGTATCAATCTCTGTTCTACAAAGCTACTTTGGGTAATATTGAATTAAAATGGAGAATAACTAATGACTGAATGTAATTACAACTCTATTGATAAAATTTACAATTTTCAGATTTTGGTGATGATGCTGTTGCAGAAATAATTGACCTATTCAGACCTCAACTTGAGGCACAGTCTGTGGATGTAGGAGCTGCAGAAGAAGAATTGACATTCCTTAAACAAGCTTTGTATGAGAGGTTTGCACCTGTTTAAGCTGCTTCAATTAGAAGTTCAGTTTATTCATTATGACTGGTATTGTAATAACTAAATTGTCATAATTACAAAGGTAAATTTTTCAACCTTTGGAAATTAAATCAACTTAGAAAGTTTGATGTCTCATTCAGCTTTCAATCTTTTCCTGCAGCCATGATGTTCACAAGATGCCCTGGGAGGTTGTTAACAATCTGTATGGAGTAGCTGGGACTGGGAGATGCGGCAACATCCTGCTCGTGATAGATTTGATTATGTCTTTGCCAGCTGCAACTGCAGAATGTGAAAGGGGATTCTCCCACATGAAAATTATAAAATCTCAATTCAGAAATAACCTGAATAGTTCATCTATGACATTGTTGATGACAATACAGCTACATTCTAATCATTCTAATGATTTTCTACCTGACGAAGCCATCCACAAGTGGAACAAGTCCCATCATAGGAGGCCAGACTTCATGGACTATAAAAAGACTGTGCCAGAGCAGCTGAAAGAATCCCTTGAACAACTTGACCAACAAGATGAAGAAGATGATGATAATGATGATGCCATTGCAAGAGCAGCTGTTACCACGGAGATATTGCTACTAGATATCAAGATTCTGACTATATGAGTCAGACTTCAGTGACCTCGTTGAAGGAAGTGACAATCACAATGACACTGACACTGACATGGACATTGATTGAAAGTCATGAGGCTCTATTTAGGAATAAGGATATTTACATGATGTATTCTAGGATATTAAATACAAATCTGACCTAAAAAGTGTTTGCTATTTCTTTTCTTGCATTACTTCATGTTCAATGAATTTGATTTAAAGTTTTAATTAAATTATCCTGAGAAACATATGATTATAGTGGGCAGGCAGGTTTTGGTCAGGGCTGGCAAGTATTTCAGCTGGCCAGTCCTGTGGTCTGGCTGAAATTTTTGAGAGTTTCATACCCTGTCAATGGCTTTTTTTCTCTGTGGGGACAGACAGCAGTCCATCTTCAACGTAAAGGTTTTTTTCCCTGAACTGTTTCATAATAACATCAGCATTTACCAGCATTATGGTCTGAGACCATAGGTAGCAACTGCAGGAGAGGGTGAATTCCAAAACACATCAGCAGTCATTCTGTACTCAAACAAGTCTTGGCTAGGATCATTATTTCTGTACCAGAAAAATCTTAGGTAGTCACGATGAGATGGTTTCAACTTGAAGCAGTAAAACATTTGCTCCACATCTGCCGTCACTGCAAAGGATTCGGTTCGGAACCTGAGAAGGATTTGTGAGGTCAGAACCAGTCATTAGGACACTGTTCAGAGAGACGCCATTGTACTTCACAGATGAATCAAATACGCCCCTGATTTGTCCTGGTTTCTTGGCATTGTAAACACCAAACAAGGGCAAGTACCAACACTCTTGATCCTTTTCCAATGGAGGGGCTATTTCCGCATGTCCCTTGTCTATGACTTTAGCCATGAATGTTGTCATATGTTCTCGCTTTGGGGAATCTTTGCGCATGCTGGAGTCCAATAGATTTGCTCGATGAATGTAATGGAATTTGTAACATTGCAGCCTGGGACGATTTTGTCAAAATGGTAGTGGAGCAGTCAAATAGCCATCACTATCCTTTGACAATTCAGCATCCATAATCCTCAGGAATTGCTTGTCCTCAATAGACAAAGTTTGCGTTTCGTCAAGTCTTGTTTCCTGAAAGACACTTTCCCCAAAGTAATTCCTCTCTTTGACTTCAAAATTATTAGGACAGGGCTCCTTGATTGTCTTTCGACCATCCCAGAGCATGTGAGTTTTGTTAACTATTATCACATCCGGTTTGTGTACCTGCCCAAGACAGACTTCTCCAATTATTCTTTCTGAAATACCTTGACAAGCAGAATCTTGTCACATGACTTGCCACCAACTAAATTATCACATATCTTCGTGCAAGCGGACATCGTAATTGGCTTCTCTTCATGATGTGACGGTGATGGAGTCATAACCTTTCTCTCCCCTTCATGCTTCCTCAGTGAAGTCCTGCTGTCTGCAACTTTAGTGGAGGTTTCTCCATCATTCTTAGAGTGCATGGTGGTAGCATGCTGAACACTCCCACAAAAGAAACACTGAACGCTACACTTGATTCACAACACTTGAAGCATATTCTATGCTTACCAAGAAAGTTCTTTCTCTCACTCAGACAGACGTCAGAACCCCTTACAATAATTGGGAGTATGTCCCTCCGATTTATCGTGGTCGGGACAGAGTCTAACAAGGTCCGTAACATTCGATTTCAGTTTTCTTTGATAACAATTTGAAGTTTGGGTTGATATTCAAGGGATGTCATTTCATTGCCGCTGACTGTGAGTCATAAAGAATGCTTGGATCATTTCGTATTCTGGCCTGTCTGCTTATGAATTATGAGAACACGGAAAAGGGAAGATAAGTAACATGATACCGTTCCTTGTATTTGACAGCTTCATTGGTCCATTTCTCTTGAAGAGCGTAGGGAAGCCTGTTCACAATCAGAGTAATGGCTGCTGAAGAGTCATAGTATGCCAGAAGGGCTGAGTACCTCTGATTGTCCTTCACAGACTCAATCTCGGACACACTGTCTGCCAAATCATAGAGTTTATCATGATCTTTGTAGGAAAGTTGGAAATATTTTTCTTGAGTGCAGACAGACTCTTCAAGCTCGGGACTGGCATATCTGTTTCCAAATGGTTCCGAGATCTTCTGAAGACCCCGAAGGGAATATTGAGCATTAGCAGTACTGATACTAGCGGCTTTTCTGCTGGGGTCCCGGCCAAGACACCTGACCAGCAAGTCCATTTCCTCCTGCGGAGACACGTTTAGTTTGTACATAATTTGTGTAAAGCTATTCTGCCACCCAGCAAAAAAATCTGTCTTATTGTTGAATTTACTCAGCCAAGAGAGGAGGAGGTATTTCTTCATCAAATATTTGGAGAGTTCTGAACACAAACCCAGTTGGTTTGTCACATGTCCCAATGCAGGGGGCGCTGTCATGTCTGGGACATAAGGTTCATACTATTTGGTGGAACAATATCATGTTGAATTGTCGAGGCTTCCGGGGCATGTACTTGCTTTGGTTGAGTATGGTAACCATGGTTATAGAATGACTGAAGGTCATCAACTGTGTTTAGACTACTCTGCCCAGCTTTGTGAGATGTACTTGTATTTACAGATATGTCTTGGTTCTTGTACACCGTGTCAACATGGTCAAGTACCCTAGTTTCAAACTCAAAAAAGGTCTGCTGGTTTTCCACAAATTCCGGAATTTCTTTGAGCCCCGACGATGTGTGGGAAGTACGGTCATGTCACCTTGATTTCTTGTCAACATCCAAGACTCCCTGCTGTGAGGTTGTTCCCGGTGTTTGACAGCTTTGCCCCAGCGCAACAGTCTCCAATAGTTGTGTGTACCTGCACGTGGAATCATAGACTGTGATGCGTGATCCGATTTCGATTGTAATCAGTCTACTTATTGTCCTTATTCAAGAGTGAATCTGCAATGTTTTGATGTGTAGCCTGTACTTGTGAACTTTCTTCAGGGCCAGTTCGTTAATATGCAAAGAATTCCAAATAAGTTTTCCTCATACTTCTTGTATAGACAGTCAATATATGCAGGCACACTGGTTAACCGTCCAAAAAAATCAACTGGTGTTCACAGTGAACAGGCACTCTCTATTTACCTTGCTAGTTTGGAAAGTTTGTTGACATACATTTGCAAGTTTTCTCGATAAAGTTTGTAACCTAGTTCTGTTAAACGTCTAGATCCTTCACGTGATGTAATAGTGTAATACTCACGCACAGTTCTTTGAAGAATATAATATTAATGGATTGTACGTCTTACGGTCATCTGAGCACTGTGCCTTATACGAGCGTGGCAATGAAGATTTTTTACTACGATGACTTCAAAAAGATGTTTGTCCTCATACCTTTAATCGACATAAACCCGTGGTACAAAAGGGGTAAAAAACCTGTACATGTCAGCACTTGAGTCCTTTTGGTAGGCGCAGAAACCACTCGTGTCAAACTAGTGCTTTTTCAGGAAGTGGGAAATGAGCACGAAAGATAACTCTAATGTAATGTTTTTTACCTGGAACATAGAAAGAGAGAGGCATCCAGATGAAATATTGCATCGCAGAGGCAAGACATGCTTCCATTGAGAGGAATCAGTATGCTCTTGAATGAATGCAACATGGTTGGCTACAAATGACATAAATTAACGACTATATCCAACATAGCACATTAAGGCTATCAGTCCACAGTACTGAACAGGAAATACTAATTTCAAGGAAATGTGAAACAGCCAACATCAAGCGAACAATAGCTGCCATTAACTCCAGTCAGGGAGGTTACACACTTCAAAGGAACAACCCCACTTTTAGCTGCTTCCAGCTGGCTTGAATAGTCACTGTTTGTAAGTATTGACAGAATACAAGGATGCATCAACAAATACATGCAGTATTGTTGTTCTAATATCAACATTCAATTGTAAACATCTGGGAAACCGTATTACATGTAACTGATTTCTCTCTGTGAGCCACTGTGATGCTTCATTTTGGAGATCAGGCTCAAGCACATCACCCCAGTCCATGCCTGACAACCACAGTTTCAGGTAATATTTGCCCTGATGTGAAATGGAGCAAGGAAACCAAGGGGATCAAACAATTTTGCTATCTCTCAAAGAAATCATCTCTTGGTAAGTACGAGGGCTGGCTGAAAAGTTCTAAGCCTAACTGTGAAAGACCCCTACCAAGTTGATGGTTTTCATGTATTTCTCCACATAGTCCCCTTCCAGGTTTACACACTATTGCCAGCGATGCTGCAAGGCCTGGATGCTGGTCAAGAAGATAGTTCCTTCAGCCACCCTAAAAATGTCATTCACAGCGGAAATGACGTCATTATTACTAGGAAAATGGCGACCGGCTAGTTCCTTTTTCATTTTGGGAAACAGGTGGAAGTCTGACGGGGCCAAATGAGGTGAATAAGGGGGATGGTCAATGAGTTCGAAGCCACAATCATGGATCGCTGACATGGCAACCACTGATTTGTGAACAGGAGCATTGTCTTGGTGGAACAGGACTCCTTTAGTGAGCATTCCCCGTTACTTAGCTTTGATAGCTTCACGCAACTGTCTCAGTAGGTCAGCATAATATCTTCCATTGATAGT